CTTGTCTCAATTATCTCAACGAGCTAACATCATCAATGTACAGAGGGGACCTGGAGGCGATCACACAGATCGTGAGCCCAGAATGAAGGGCATGCAAATACTGACATTGACAAAGTCAAGCTGTGGCCCGCCCCCTCCTAACTGCTCCCCTTACTATTGGTCAGTGCAGCTGTCCATCGCTCTCCGATAGCGCATGTGCAGTGTAGCAAACTCTGATTGGAGCCCCTCCCACTTCCTGTCTGAGTACTGCTGTGCTGTACAGGGATTACATGAGGCTGATACCAAGACACACTATATTACCAGAAGCATTGGGACGCCTTTACACGCACATGAACTCTAATGGCATCCCAGTCTTAGTCCGTAGGGTTCAGTATTGGGTTGGCTCCGCCCTCTAATGCTTTTGGCAATATAGTGTAGATTCAGGTGCTTATATTAGCTCCACTTAGGGAACATATTGTTTAGTAAATACATAACAGTATTTGTGTTTTTTTAAATCTTCCTGGAGTTCGGCTTTTCTAGATCTCCGCAGCCCGGCCATTAGTAACGATCGGTTTATATTGCCCTTTAATATTTCTCTCACCCGCGCGGTTATCTGGCCCCGAAGAAGATGAATCAAAGTCCACAGAACATTCTGTGCAGGTTCTGTTAATCGTTATATTGTTACTGCACAGAAGCGACCTCGTGACATCGGCGTCCTGCGCGTCGTCTCGTTACACTGTCACCACTTCACCTGAGATCATCCCGAGAGTCGCTCTATGATTTACTAACAATGGAGAAAAGTCCAGATCAATAGAATCCCAACATCTCCGCCCCTCCCACAATGGTGAGATATCTTCCAGTAGTTTGTGTCTCTGCCCCTCCCACAATGGTGAGATTCCCTTCCAGTAGTTTGCGTCTCTGCCCCTCCCACAATGATGAGATATCTTCCAGTAGTTTGTGTCTCTGCCCCTCCCACAATGATGAGATATCTTCCAGTAGTTTGTGTCTCTGCCCCTCCCACAATGATGAGATATCTTCCAGTAGTTTGTGTCTCTGCCCCTCCCACAATGATGAGATATCTTCCAGTAGTTTGTGTCTCTGCCCCTCCCACAATGATGAGATATCTTCCAGTAGTTTGTGTCTCTGCCCCTCCCACAATGATGAGATATCTTCCAGTAGTTTGTGTCTCTGCCCCTCCCACAATGATGAGATATCTTCCAGTAGTTTGTGTCTCTGCCCCTCCCACAATGATGAGATATCTTCCAGTAGTTTGTGTCTCTGCCCCTCCCACAATGATGAGATATCTTCCAGTAGTTTGTGTCTCTGCCCCTCCCACAATGATGAGATATCTTCCAGTAGTTTGTGTCTCTGCCCCTCCCACAATGATGAGATATCTTCCAGTAGTTTGTGTCTCTGCCCCTCCCACAATGATGAGATATCTTCCAGTAGTTTGTGTCTCTGCCCCTCCCACAATGATGAGATATCTTCCAGTAGTTTGTGTCTCTGCCCCTCCCACAATGATGAGATATCTTCCAGTAGTTTGTGTCTCTGCCCCTCCCACAATGATGAGATATCTTCCAGTAGTTTGTGTCTCTGCCCCTCCCACAATGATGAGATATCTTCCAGTAGTTTGTGTCTCTGCCCCTCCCACAATGATGAGATATCTTCCAGTAGTTTGTGTCTCTGCCCCTCCCACAATGATGAGATATCTTCCAGTAGTTTGTGTCTCTGCCCCTCCCACAATGATGAGATATCTTCCAGTAGTTTGTGTCTCTGCCCCTCCCACAATGATGAGATATCTTCCAGTAGTTTGTGTCTCTGCCCCTCCCACAATGATGAGATATCTTCCAGTAGTTTGTGTCTCTGCCCCTCCCACAATGATGAGATATCTTCCAGTAGTTTGTGTCTCTGCCCCTCCCACAATGATGAGATATCTTCCAGTAGTTTGTGTCTCTGCCCCTCCCACAATGATGAGATATCTTCCAGTAGTTTGTGTCTCTGCCCCTCCCACAATGATGAGATATCTTCCAGTAGTTTGTGTCTCTGCCCCTCCCACAATGATGAGATATCTTCCAGTAGTTTGTGTCTCTGCCCCTCCCACAATGATGAGATATCTTCCAGTAGTTTGTGTCTCTGCCCCTCCCACAATGATGAGATATCTTCCAGTAGTTTGTGTCTCTGCCCCTCCCACAATGATGAGATATCTTCCAGTAGTTTGTGTCTCTGCCCCTCCCACAATGGTGAGATTTCCCCCAGTAGTTCGTGTCTCTGCTCCTCCCACAATGGTGAGACTTCCCCCCTAGTTGGTGTCTCTGCCCCTCCCACAATGGTGAGATTTCCCCCAGTAGTTCGTGTCTCTGCTCCTCCCACAATGGTGAAATTTCCCCCCAGTAGTTTGTGTCTCTGCCCCTCCCACAATGGTGAGATATCTTCCAGTAGTTTGTGTCTCTGCCCCTCCCACAATGGTGAAATTCCCCCCAGTAGTTTGTGTCTCTGCTCCTCCCACAATGGTGAGGTTTCCCCCAGTAGTTTGTGTCTCTGCTCCTCCCACAATGGTGAGACTTCCCCCCCTAGTTGGCGTCTCTGCCCCTCCCACAATGGTGAGATTCCCCCCAGTAGTTTGTGTCTCTGCCCCTCCCACAATGGTGAGATTTCCCCCAGTAGTTTGTGTATTGCTCCATACTGGGAGAGATCAGTGGGGGGCCAACTTGCAGGGAAGTAAAACTGAAGAGTATTGGGAGTTCATCGTTAATGGAACACGTTGGGGTGAGTAGTCTCTCCTGAATACAATTATCTTCTCATCTCAGGAAGTGTATAATAATCAGAGTGCTGGGTACACAGATGCAAGTATGGGAATGTATGAAATGTGTGTTAGTCTGACATCTTGTGGATAGAAGCGGTACTACAGAACAATAAAGTGAACCTGTCATTATTAATGACACATTGTAATCAATACATTTATTAGACAATTTCCTGGAATCACACGATGACACGCTCACATGTTATGCTCGCACCGTACACGCTCCGCGGTCACATTTATATTGGATAACAATGAAACATTTGCCACCGCCCATAGAGTGGAGGGGCCCCCCTACACGTCCCATAGAGTGGAGGGCTCCCCCTACACGTCCCATAGAGTGGAGGGGCCCCCCTACACGTCCCATAGAGTGGAGGGGCCCCCCTACACGTCCCATAGAGTGGAGGGCCCCCCCTACACGTCCCATAGAGTGGAGGGCCCCCCCTAACACGTCCCATAGAGTGGAGGGCCCCCCCTACACGTCCCATAGAGTGGAGGGGCCCCCATACATGTCCCATAGAGTGGAGGGG